AGGTTTTATGATCATCTTTCAGAAATGCTTCAGTAACAGATTTCTCCACTGGTAGCATGTTGAACTGGATGATCCGTTGAGTTCTTTGCAGATTTGGCCCTATCTACACTGCCATATAATGCAGTTTGAAACTGGATTATATGGTAGTGTAAACACATATAATGCAATTCAATGCAGTTAAACAGCATTGTATGAGTCTACTCTGGCTATGCAGTCCAGTTTCAAACTGCATTATATTACTGTATAGATGGAGCCAACATTAATTTTATTTATTTGTTTGTTTAGAACATTTGTATCCCATCCTTTTCTCAACTTTTGAAGAGGGACTCAGGGCAGCTTCCAAAAAATTAAAAACACCAATAAAATACACAATTAACGTAAAATAATAAATATACATATAAAAACAGTTCACCGGGTTTAAAATGTTCTCCAAATCAGTCCAAAAATACGGTCCATAAAATCTCAACTTTGCCAATAAAAACTGTCTATTCTGCAAATGCTTGCTCCCACAGCCAAGTCTTAAGTGTCTTGTGAAAAATCAGGAGGGAGGGGGCAGCTCGAGCCTCCTCAGGGAGGTTATGAAAATTTCTGTGTGTTTCAACATATAGGAGCCAATAAGGTGCTGCCTACTAGAAATGTTTGCACAATTCATATAATAGCTACTTTGAGTTTTGCTTGTTTCAAAATCCTATTGTGTATTCTAAAGGAGAGGACATCTATGAATAATGCAGTTTCTTGTGCATGATTGATAATGGGTTTATTGCTCCAGCACTTCTAGCATGTTATTCGATATCCTATCAGTCCCATTTTCATACGGAAAACAACTGCTTTCAAAACCTGACATTTTTATCACTGCAAAGCTCAGCCAGCTATCTACATGGCACGGCACTATACTGTGATAATCTCCTATTGAACCTGAGGTGTATCATACAGTATACATGGGATGGTAGCTGTATATACATATCACTGAAATAATTTATTTTGAAGAAGATCCTTGTTTCAAGGAATATAGACATAAATAATGATTACAGAGTAAAGTTGTTGGTTTTTATACAAAATAACAAATTTGTAGTCTTGGAGTCTATAAATAAAATTGGATAGGTAAGTAGGTAGGTAGATGGATAGTTTTTTTTCTTTGTTTTGAAATATATACATATAAATGTGTATAGCTAGATGTGAATATTTGAAAAATCCTGAATAAAAACACTGAACAATTTGTGTACACGGTCAAAGAGAACTACTCAAATACTCAATGCAGATAAATAGAAGGTAATGACAAAAGAACTGTACTTCCCAATAGTCAGCACAACTAATGAGAAGGGGGACAGGAGATGTGGCTCACTATCTTCAACTTGAGCCCCATTTGGAAGAAAGAGAAACATAAAATTAAATTAAAACAACAGCAACAATATCTGGAAGCCAACATGTTCTTTCATTCATACTGTACAGAACTTCAGCCTAAATGTGGATTCTATATGTATATATATTCAAATTTATGTCATCAAGCTCATCCCTAGGTAAATGAATAGAGGATTGCAGTCTAGAACCTGTAGCCCAGGGGTCCTCAAACATTTTAAAGAGAGGGCCAGGTCACCGTCCCTCAAACTGTTGGAGGGCTGGATTATAATTTGAAAAAAAAAAAGAATGAATTCTTATGCAAACTGCACATATCTTATTTGTAGTGCAAAAAAACCACCTTAAAAACAATACAATAATTTAAATTATTTAAATTTAAATAATTTTAACCAACTTATTAGTATTCCAATGGGAAGTGTGGGCCTGTTTTTGGCTGATCACATAGGATTGTTGTTGTTGTTGTTGCTGCTGCTGCTGTTGTTGTTGTGTGCTTTCAAGTCATTTCAGACTTAGGTTGACTCTAAGCAAGGGCCGGGTAAATGACCTTGGAGGGCCGTATATGGACCATGAGCCTTAGTTTGAGGACCCCTGCTCTAGCCCATTGCTTGCTCCAATAGAGCCATTGATTGTGTTGTCTCACCTTTCAATGATAATTGAATCTACTTTGCTTTGGGATTCAGGCCTAAGATTATGATTCTAAACACAGTCCCTTGGGCAGGGGCGGCTCAACCCATTACGCAAAGTAAGCATTTGCAGTATAGTTGATTTTGCCCAGGGGCGCTCTTGAGGCGCTCTTGGGGGAAAACAGACCTTGACATATGTGAGTTGTAGTTACTGGGATGTATAGTTCACCTACAATCAAAGAGCATTCTGAACTCCACCACTGATGGAATTGAATTAAATATGGCACACAGAACTCCCACAATGAACAGAATATATATATCAGTGATTGGTTGGGGGGGGGAGCAAAATACTGTTTGCTTACTGTTGAAAATTACCTAGGGCCGCCTCTGCCCTTGGGGTACTCCAAACTAGACACAATGGGATTCACTTTTCAATAAACATTTATAGGATTGCATTACAAATGTACTAAACATAACTAGTCATTGAGAAGGCATGACTAAAAGTAGTCTCAAATAGCACCAGCTAAAATGTGTTGAAAATGTTTTGAAAGATGCTTTTCCCATTTATGGTCTAACTGTTATACAGCATCCACCTGTGTTTGCCATGGCCAGGAACCTGGGGCACAGATATGAAGAAGATGCCTGTGAATTGATGTGATTGAGCTATTATGACACATGGTGAGTCCCAAAATTACATCCATTACAGAGTATTTTAAGTAAACTATTATTAAATGGGTTGTTGTAGGTTTTTCCGGGCTATATGGCCATGTTCTAGAGGCATTTTCTCCTGACATTTCACCTGCATCTATGGCAAGCATCCTCAGAGGTAGTGAGGTCTGTTGGAACTAGGAAAAAAGGGTTTATATATCTGTGGAATGACCAGGGTGGGACAAAGGACTCTTGTCTGCTGGAGTTAGGTGTGAATGTTTCAACTGACCACCTTATTATTAAATGGACAATTGTTGCTACTTGTTACGCACGTACATAGATCTCCAATGCTCTTAGATATCAAAGTCCAGGCTTCAACTAGAGCTGGCCACTGAATCAATTGCAGAATTGTTAAGTCAAAACAAGTTTTGTAAATTCACGGTGGCATTTCAACAGAGGAAGGAATATTATATATACTCTTCTTTGTTTGCTTGTTTTAAAATGAGAGCTTATATAATTTGTTCTTCAGTGCATTTAACCAGAGAAACATACTTTAAAATGTTATTTTTAAAAAAGAGAATTAATCGCCATTATCTTAATATCAGGAGGAATGAAGAATAAACAAGATGCCATTTGAAGGATCAAAAAATGTCTAAAAAGAAAAAGTCTTGAAATTCACCTAGAGAAACCAATCTTTCATGTCTAAGATTTTTCTTTCTATAGTAGTTTGGGGACTTTCTTCTCCTCTCCCTCCCACGGGGAGCTCACTACCTGCCTTGAGACTCTTTTACACTTCATAGCTATAGCAGTATGACTGCAACAGCCTGTGGCATTTTACCATTTGAAGTGTCGAGAATTCAGAATTTTCAGCTAAGCTGCTCTAGTGTCACTCATAACTACAAACTTCAGGTTTCCACAGGTTGCAGCCATGGTAGTTAAAGCCGATGCATAACACAATAACCATGTTGTATAAAATGCCCTCTGGAGATTTTCATTACATTCAGCAGCAGCTGTGTTGTTGTTTGTTTACATGTAGACTCGAGGAAGAAGAATAACTAATTCCTACTTTTGGTGGAAATGCCCTATTCACACTTTAAATAGTCCTGGATTTGTGAAAAAGTGGAAACGACGAGTAATATTCTTCTGTTCCAGAGAAATACACAAGGAAGTACAGATAGTATTCATACACTGAAGTTGCTCAGCCCTAAAGAAAGCAATCAAATTTATGGAACAATTCAAACATTTTGTTTATTTATTTATTTACTATATTTGTATACCATCCTTCTTAGCCCTCAGGTAACTCAGGGCGGTTTACAGAGGCAACAATTCAATTCAAAAACACCATAAAACATTTAAAAACATTACTATATAATACAAAACCACCACAAAAGCAATAAAAAACATAAATCAATTGTATCTCCTAATTAAAACATTGTCGAATCTCATCATCCAATCATTCCATATTCCTTTGTCTATTACATTCATTTTAAAACTCTTGCTCAAACAGCCAAGTCTTGACTTTTTCTGGAATGTTAAAAGGGAGGGGGCTGCTCTAATGTCCCTAGGAAGGGTGTTCCATAGCTGAGGGGCCACCACTGGGAAGGCCCTGTCTCTTGTCTCTGCCATACATATTTCTGACACCAGCGGGATCGAGAGCAGGGCCCCAGACAATCTTAGTCTTTGATTCCTTAACTTTTTATGAGGACTGAATCATAATTCAATTGTAATAATCCACACACAGAATTTTTCACCAAGAATTTCCTCTAGTTCAGACTCCACATGCAGTGTCCATTCAAAAATTCTTTTGCTACAGCCACTTCTTTCTCCACTGATTTTTGCCAATGTGGCTCTCTATAGCCAATCTCATAGCATGCAGAAAACCGACTGACGTTTGTAACAATATATGCCACACTTGGGGAAATCAAACCATTGTATCAGGAAGTTAACATTTTCAACAACTGCCTTATAACAAGTGAAGGGGAAAATCAGCAAGGTTTGAGGAAAAGAAATCGCCGGACAATCATGCACTTCAAACAAATAGTGAAAATAAATGTTCATGTCAAAAGGGATATTCAAAATCAGCTCCAAAAAAGAACCATAATCAGGAGAAGCAAGAATGAAAGATAAAATCTATTCTGGAAGTGAAAGAGCAATTCTAGCTTCTCCTTAATTAGACTAGCCAGGTAAAAAAGTGTTTGGTTAGGATCTCAAACAGCTTGTGTGCACAGGTCAAAAGCTGAGTCATAACCATTTGATTCAGTGTTATCCACAGCCCCCAACCCACCTGTTGTTTTGTTTGATGCCCATATCAGGAACTGGTTAATCAAGTTGAATAAAACTCATGATAGCTGAATGAAGATGGAAATCCCTTACCTTGGAAAGGTGATGTCAGAACTGGTATTTTGATTGGTGACAAGGTCAGCACACGGCATGGCTGGAGACTTGTTGAAGGTCCCTGAGGGGTGTCAGCATCTAATGACAACATGGCTGCTGCAAATGCAATAGTCTGGTTGCTTCCAGCTTGCTTAAGGCAACCACCTACAGAAGAACCAGGGATGATTTTGATTATTTTCATGTCAATACTAATAATCAGTGACACACACATAAAATCTATCATTTTACTGTCCAGCCTGGCAATGATTTTTTTTAAAAAAAATCTAATGATAATATAGCATTAATATCTCAATCATTATGTTCATTTTATAGTTCATGGAATACTGTTGTAATCTAAATAGGGTCCATTGCCACTTTTTGCATCTTTTACCATAATGTCTCAGACATTTTTTTAAAAACTGGATTTTAAAAGCTAGTTGATGAAAGGTATAGTTCACCCTTTTTGTTCCTTTTTGGTAAGGTACTATCTCACAACAGAACAAGTATTAATGATTAAATCATATACCTTGAAAGAATTAGGATACGTCATTTGATACAACACACAAACCCATACCCTTTAGCACCGGGGATAGCAACTTTCAGAGCATAAGGGCCTGCCTATGTGTCCCCTAGAACCTCAGAGAGTCACACTCATCCATCACACACCTATGACATTACTGTACCAACATTTGATCATGTCCATGTTTGCAAATAAAATGAAGCTAAAAGCCACATACAATCCTTTGCCTAATTTCACAAAAGCAAATGGGCTCATGGGGCAAGGAGAAGAAAAGCTGGCAAGAAAGCAACAATGGAAAAAGTGATGAGGTCCTCTTGTATATATCAGTATGGACCACTCACAGAGTGATTTATCCTTTCCTCAGTAGCAACCTTCTCAGAAGAAAAGGACGTGTAGCAGAGATAGAAAAAGTGAGTGTGAGAAAAAGGGATTGATAGAAAAAAGATACACAGAAATAAAGGGGGTGCCAGAAAGTATGGTAGATTAATGTGAAGAAATAAAAGGAAATGTCAGAAAAAAGGGCAAAAGTATGATAGCTGGGACTCTACGCTACACTACTTGTGCAACGYGGTTCAGAATTAATGAAGGGAAGATGTACACAAGACAGCAGAGCGAGTGAGAGATGCAGGTGCGACAGAGTCATGGCAAGATAGTTCACCAGAAAGCAGGGGGGGGGGGGGACGGACACAACAAACAGCCAAGCATAGTGCTTAAGGCGAGTGAAGTAATGTTAAAGTTATTTACTGTTAAATGATAAACAGTGGCTTACGAAGATGGTAAATGGGATAGAAATGTTTCCTCTTCCCCTTTCTGGCAAACTATTTTGCCACGACTCTGACGCAGCTGCATCTCTCACTCGCTGCGCTGTCTCATGCACATGTTCCCCTCATTAATTCAGACCCACGTTGCGCAACCAGTGTAGGGTCTCAGCTATCATATTTTTGCCAAAAAAAAAAAAGCAAGAAAGAATTAATTTGTGTTGGAAATAGCAACCTTCCAAGCCTCCACTAACTGCTCAGACATGTATATGACTGTTAATCTATATTGCATGTGCATTTTGGTTTGCCAGTGTGACTGTATGTCTTGGGTGTGGGAGAGGCTTCAGGCACAGGACTCCATTTTGTATTCAGTTTGCATCAGACTTCAGTGGAGGTGGATGCATGTTGCTGTTTGGACTTTGGTAGAGAAGTATAACTTATGAACTTCAGTGAGTACAGCTATATTTAAAGACTAGAGACAATTGATTAAATATCATACCATGTGTACTCAACACTGAGAAGAAACTACATCTTATCTAACTGAACTCTAATAAGAAATGTGCCAGTATGGTGAATTAATACGAGTTGTTTATGAGTAAACAAGATATGTTATTTTTCAAATAAAACTTTCTTCTTATCTCTGAGTACATATTTTAACAAAGGGGGTTTATATCTTTTGGGCAACTGCAATTACAATTACAACTGCAAATTCTACTTCAAAGAAAAAAAATGATCCTCTATTAACCAAATATATTTTGTAGTGGCATGTCTTTCTCCTTGGCAGTTTAAAGACATGGTTCTTCAGTTTAACAGCTGAGTTACCTGTGTGCCATTACATTAATGCTTGTGAATATCACTTGTTCAAAGGGTTGACTTCTAACAAGGTAATGGTTTTCTTAACTAGTGGTTTTCAGAAGGTGGTCTCCACATATTTATGAAGATTCATATTTGCCAAATGGATGTGATATCATTTTTACCTTTTCAATAAGGTTATGGTGCAGTTATTTCCAATAGGTTATGGAATTTCCAATAATTTGCAGAGAAACAGAAAATGGTTGACAGAAAATTAGAGCAAAAGTGAGAAAGAAAGAAAATAGAAATAGGTTCACAAAAAGACAAAAGGGGTGGTCCTAACATCCTTTGACTCCAAGTATATCTGCATTTGGCCAATATCTCAACTACGGTTAGCATACAGCCTGTAATAGCTCCCCCTTAAAGGAATACAGGTCATGAGAAAGTGAGAAAAGCCTTCATATCTCAGTTTTTGGAACATAATGAAATGCACAGTTGACCTGCCATGAGTTCAAGATATATGAACACCACTTTATTAGATTTCATTTTAAATTTGTATTTGTTTAACCTGTGAATAAGCTCCTTATTCTGTGGTCTGTTGCAACTTTCTGACAATTAAAAAGATGAAGTAAATCTGAAGCTACAAGAGGAAGAATCAGCTGCATAATTTAAAAAATTCTGGAACAGTCAACATTTGAAAGCAGTCTATTTGTAGCTGCAGCTCAGATTCCAAAAAAGCCATTTTAAGTAAGTAAGCCATAAGACACTTCGTACATCACATTTTTCAGGTAGGCACCTAAAAATATAAAGCATAAATGTCATAAATGTGTATTTGCAAAGTCATATATTATTCAGACTTTACACTCTCCAAAAAGCTGTGCTTGACTACGCTTGCTATGGTTTGCCTCTATATTATGTATTAAATGGCACTTTACATTCTCTTGAAAAGTAATAAATGAGTACCTCGACACAGAGTATCTATTTTGAAGAACAGAAAATATTCTGCTAACTGAATCTTAAAATAAGCCAAAAGTACTGTTGCAGTGAAGACAAATCCTTCTTACTTTTACCTTTACACAACAGATTTGGGGAGAGACCTTTGGTACTTAATCATGGCTAAGTATGCTAAACAAACAAGAAAAGGGGGTAGTAAAAATCATAAGGAAAGTTAATTTGACAAACACCAGCTGTTGCTCTCTCCGTATTGAGCTTTGCATTCAAAAATTAAGCAATCATTAGCTTATTATGTCGTTTAGCAAATGTTTTCAATTCAGGCAGAAATCCTTTGGGCATTAGAAAAGCAGCAAGCAATTTTGCAAAGTGCCCTGCTTGATCTGAATCATGACTTTAGACATTTCAGAACCATGAATTACCTGTTAGGTTTCCTTTCAAAGATCCCAAACATTATTGCTCTCATTTCACACAGGATTTGTAAGACAAACCATAGGTCTGACCAAGATGTCATAAGATGTTATTCAGTACATAACTAATGGATTAAATGCAATTGCTAGTTTTAACTATAGTGGACTCATGATCTTGATAAGCCAACATCTATGGAAGTTCCATGAATTACATGGATTTAGAACTTCTTTCTCACTGTTCCAATATAGTTAAGTTATCACAGAGAACTGATGCATCATGGGTTGAGCACCTTCAATATCACACCTCTTCATTCACATAATTGCATGGGCTCACCATTATATGGTCCACAATCATAATTCCACATACCCTCATGATCCTATCTTCCTAAACTACTGCGCTTCTTTTGTTTTATTATGTTTTTTTAACCATAATTGTGACATTTCAGAATTTTTCAAAAGGTAAAGATACGTATTATAAAAACATCCAATATGGGAATAGTGATAGGAAGGAAGAAGAGGAGGAGAATCCTAACCCATGAAATCATACTACTCTTGGCATGCCAGCACAGAAATCGAAAAGATTATTTGTGCAGGTGGCAGAAAAGTAGCAGAATGAGGACGCACTGAAGCATTTTATCCAACAATAGCCAAAGATCAAAGATTCATGAGGAAAGGCATATTAGCAGAGGGGTGCATATGGCGCCATACGATAGGAACTGTCACCAAGGTGATGGTCCAGTTACAATGCTGGTTCACCTGCCTCACTCTCATTGAACCTAAGGACTGAATTATAGGCCCTTTAATATTCCACAGAAAAGCCAACAAGGCACATCAGGTTATAGCTTCAGAAAGGATATAAAAACCAGTAATAACCAGCATCCTTAAGATCCTACTTTATTAAAACTTCTATATATCTACATCACATGTCAACAATTGTGTTTTAAAAGTATAAATATTCCAGTTTAAATACAACAGTCTGACCATAGTCAAGCACACTTTTCAAGGTTGTTTCATGCACTTCTATTCTGTGTAGATACAAATTCTGTCGTTTTCCATTTAATTTTTAATTAGAGAAGTGTACATATTATTACCATGAATTTTGTAGATGATGGGAACTTGTAAAGTGCAGAAAATGTTTAGGGACACATTATAATGGAGACTGAGCTGGCCCAGCTTACTTGTCCGAACACATCTCCCTCTATGTCCCGCCTCACAGTTTAAGATCATCCAGGGAGGCCCACCAGTGTCGCAAACACGTCTGGCAGGGACGAGAGACAGGACCTTCTCAGTTGTAGCCCCCCGCCTGTGGAACTTGCTTCCCAACAAGGTAAGATTCACTTCATCCCTCCTATCTTTTAGGAAGAAATTGAAGTCATGGTTCTGGGACCAGGCGTTTGGACATCAGGCATAAATAGCACTTTGGATATGAAATTCAACTGGAATGGTGATATGACTGTTAATATTGTTTTTATTGTTTTAATTAATGTTCTATTTATTGTTTTAATGGTTGTTATATTGTTGTTATATGTAGTGGCATCAAATTGTTGCCAAATGCAAGCCATCCTGAGTCCCCCTTCAAGGGTTGAGAACGACGGGGTAGAAATACTGGAAATAAATAAATAAATGTACGCCAAGCCACCCACTGTCCAGGGTAGAAGACATTTTAATACCAGCATCATTCTCATACGTTACATTCTTTGTAGCAAGATTCAGTATTCCTTCCCCAAGCCAAGA